GTTTCAGATTTTTTATATATGACCCTTTTATTTAAGTAATTTGAAATTATCTCTTGGTTAGCGAGAAAAGTAGGAAAAAATTTTTTCACAATTTCCTGAAATTTAGTAAATGTACACGTTAAATAATATAAGTATATATATGTATACATATATATAAGAAATCTTATTTCTTATATAAAATTCTGCAAGAGGATTGTATGTAATATGTAAATTTTTGTATTTTTTTAATAATTCACTAATGGTACAAAATGTGCAACAAAATGTTTCCTGAAGTTAACTTTTCCTATCCGACCGAAGTACTAATGCTTTTACGGAGAATATCGTCACACATGCATCAGGATGCAACTAGTATGAACTCTTATGCGTTAAAGTAACTAAGGTTAGTTAAACATATTAAAAGATTGATGGTTGCTTTAATACGCAAAATTAGCCTCATTAGTGCCCATTCGTGAATGCCATTTTACAAACTTTATGAGAAATATTAATAATTCTCGCTATATTCCCCTAGGCAAATATATTTAAATGTTATATGCAGGGAAACAATGTTTCTCACATTTTATATCTGAATAATATATGTACATACATGCACGTATTGTAAATCATCATATTTTGTCTAAAATGTTTTGTTTTAATGTGGTAATGAATGTGAAGCACTTCATGCATAATTGTATAAAAAGAAAGTAGAGATGAAAAACTTCCTAATCAATTAATGCATTCTTACATTCGAAAGAAGTAAATATGTTAAAAAGCAACAATAATGTAATCCGATTTTGAATTTACGATTTGCATTCTTGCTTGGTCATAAAAAGTTACATAGAATCCATTTGCTGATTGATTTTGCATCTGTAAGTACTTCCAGATACAAGTAAATTTGCTTGCAAATGAAAGAGTCAACCAAATAAATTTCTCTATAAATATGTTTACGATCTATTTATATGTAGTTATGAAATTTCGATAAATTTTGACATCATGATTAATTATAATGCCACATTAATACATTTTTTCTAGAGTCTATCTTATAAAAAATTTATACACATGAAAATATTATTTTTTTAATATTTAACAGATAATCTAACAAGTATTATTGAAAAATATGAAAAATCTCGGTTAGAAATTTTCGTAGTTATCAAATTATTTTCAATTGCAGTATCATTCTTCAGCGCATTCAGAAAGTTGTATGTACATATGTCGCTTCATATCAAGAGAAGAAGATAAAAAAAATTATATTAAAAAAAATATTATATCAATGTATTAAAAATATTAAAATACAAAATAAATAAAATTCTTTCGCTTTTTTATAATGCAATTACTATGTAAAAGCCACATACCAAAGATGCTGTCGCTTATTAGAGATAATTGCAATTCCATTGTAAACGATAGCTTACACTTCGTTGCACGTTGTTGCACTTTGTTGCATCGTTGCGGGACTGCTAAACTAATCGCATTAAAAGACAAGAGTGAGAACTACTTCCTTCTTGAATGTATTCCATCCAACTCTCTTCCTCTCTGTCTTCTCGCGTACTTTCCCTAACAAATGCAGATACTTCGGAGGATGCTGTAAACTTTGCAAAACGTTTTATAAGTGCTCGCGTTCCGGATGTAGAATATGTCAGAAACAGAACTTAGAATTAATGACTAGATTTTGCCATAGCTTAATTTTTCTTTGATGTTATTTCTACTTGTGGAACGTAATTTCTTTTACTAATAAATAACTTAAGTATTATTTGACATATGTCAAATAATTCACGTTCACATACGCGAAATGTGTTATCAATTATATTCGCGCGAACATATAGAAAAATATCGAGTTAAATTTGTCTGCATCTTCGATTTAAAGAAATCATATTAAGAATACCGATATTTTAAAATTATTAATTTGTTTTCATCAATTATCTTTATTTTAAAGAAAAATCGATTTTAATTTTATCATAAAATCTGTGACTGAAATAACATCCGATTCTTTTTCTGGAATACTTTGTATAACGAAACCTCATTTTAATGCAAGACAAAGTGTATTATTTTCTTAGCAGTCGTGCTAAGCTTCGTGAAATAAAGATAAGCGGGTAACAGTGAAGAAGACAAATCACGCTTTCCATTCGAGTTCCTTGTTAATAGCCAAAGAAGCGTCAATCTAATCGCATTAAAAGATTAAACCGCGATGATTGCAATTGCGGTCGCCCGTCTTTTCGTTCTGCTTGCTCGCGTGGTGCTTGTCGCTCTTCCATTTGTCACTAGTCAGAAAAATCCAATGGCAATATCGCCGTTTGGGAAGGGAAGGCCTCATGTCGCATTTTTCGTTATGGATAAGAAAAGAGGATGTGAAAGAGAACAAGAAATCGTAGAACAAGATTGTCAGATCCATAATGGCGTGTACAGTAGAAAGTAGTAGGATGTGCTTTTTAACTAATATTCACGTATCACCTATTGATCAGAATGTTATTTCGAAAGGAAGTATTAAAAGAATTTTCTGCTACTTAAAAGATAAGTAGTGGAAACAAAAAAGATATTTTAAAAAATCGCATGTTTTTGTAATGCTTTAATGGTTACATAATTAAAGATGGTCTTATATCACTATCTGGAAGACAACTTCATATCTCTTTTTATGGTAAAGATAGAATTAAATTTATCGGGTTTAATACTTAGTTTTTTTTTAGTTTAACTATATAATTTAAGATGTGTATTTGGAAACATTGGTAACAGGTCATCCAATTCATGACTAAGAACTAAATTTCAACTTTTTTCAACTTTTTTTGCAACAGGCCGATGTCATTTGTAAATCCGACCGATCCTTAAATGACACATTTCATCCTCGGTCGACATATTCAAGATCTTCATTCATCGCTTGTCATTGCATCTTTCTAACGGGCACGATTTTCATGCACGTAATAATCGCTACTTTCGTCACGACATTGCTGCTTCATTCAAATTTGGTGTGAAGAAACTAAAATTCTATTCGAGTTTATACTTTTATATTTTCTGTCCTTATTATCCCGCCAATTTTAATATTAATATTAATATTAATATTAAATAAACTTTATATATATATATATATATATATATAAAGTTTATTTAATGTATAACACAATAATGATTTTTAATGCAATTAACATTTCTTATCTCAAACAGATAAACTCTCGAGTACGTAATGGTTCGTCATTATAGAAGTTACACGGTTTAATGAGGAAAGTACGCAATCAGTTTATCGCTTACCGTTATTAAGCTTGGAATATATTTTATATAGACATAAAAACAGTAAACATGTATTATAATGCATATAAAACATCTATACATACATTCTCTCTCTCTCTCTCTCTCTCTCTCTCTCGCTCTCTCGTATTTGCAAGACGCTATAATCTATCGTAGCGATTCGTGTATAGCAAGCAAGTTTTGCCACTATACGCCGTAGGAATGTATGGCTCAATTATACTTGCTAATTAGTTCCGTTGAAAGTTTAAGGGTACATTCAATCATGCGCCAACGTGTGCAATTATAATAATGCCGAAAGCACCTTTTATTCTCCCACAGATTATATGTTTTTCGCTAATAAGAAGTTTCAATATGGCAGAGAGATAGTAAAGTTTTATATATGTTAGTCTTCTAATTTTTCTAATAATAAAACAAATTTTTTAAATTTATAGAAAGTATATGTACGTGTTTTATAACTATGAAATAATTTTAATAAAACAACAATTTACTATACGTTTCAATACTTCAAATTTTGATATTTATGATTATCATTTTGACAACTATAATTTTGATAGAACATTACATTATATTTTTAATTCTATTAGAGTTCTGAAAAATGTCCAATGAAAAATGTCTAGTTTCTAGTTTACGCAAATGATACAAGGTAGCAGAAAACGATGTGAATTTCAGTATGTCAGTTCAGTAGACTGAACTGTCGCACATAGAAATCCAATTCACAGTACCGTTTTGTGGAGATCAGCGTGAACGAGATTCAAGGGGCTGAGGATAAGGATGGCTTTCGCTATTGCATGAAAGGTAACGGGCCTGCTTGGACTTCTCATTTTACTTTCTTTCTCCTTGCGTGTCCACGACAGGATACATCGGAATCGAAAATATTCGGATTGAAAATTGGTTATACATTGACTATACGAGACCTTGCCTTTTTGACTATTCACCCGCCCAGCAATATACGCGGATAAAAAGGATTTTAAAGATATAAAATCCATTCGAAATTCTGCACCACACTTTTTTCCTATAGCCCTTTCCCTTAAAGGGCTTATGTTTGTTTAATGCGCCATCTTTTATTTAACAGTTAGTCTACTATTTTTTTAGTTAGTTATATTTTTTCAGCACAAATATATAATATATAAATTTATCAAAATATAAGCGATCAATTTACACTTATCGAAGTATTATAAATCCGTTAATCATTCAGATCATCAAATCATGATTGGAAATTTATCATAAAATGTATCAAAATATATTTTATAAAGAAATTAAAAATCATACTTTATGTAATTTTGATATTACTCCATGAGACAACATAATTATTAAACATTATAGAAACTAGGATTTGTAGTAGCCATTATATTCAATAAATTAAATATATAAAAATTGAATTCTATCTGTTTTTCATAATTGCTTAAAGCACTTGATTTTTCGATGCTGTTTTTTTTTTTCGCTGTAACAATGCTTCGTTTAATAACGAAAAGAGATAAATAAACTTAAGTCAGAAGACTGTAAATAATGTCCTGCATCTACTTTCGCCGTAGTGTTTCGATTTTTCAATTTATTAGAGCCTAATCTGATATCGATATAATTTAATTGTCTATATCACTGATAGAGTGATTTGATACAACTTTATGTACAGTTTTAAATTCTTACGTAATTATTGTGCTTGAAATTAATTGTTATTCGTCGATAACTCAGTGAATTTACATAGTGAAGGGGACAACAATGAGAGGAGAAAATTGACAAATTAAAGAGTAATGAAAAAAATAACAATTGTCTAATTTCGTAACATCATGACTCACCAAGCATTTGGGATATTCTTCAGCCGGAGTAGGTCTTTTCCATCCGAGTAACGGTGGTATACAAACAAGCGCCGACAATATCCAGACGAGGGCAATCATGAGCGCCGCTCTAGCTGGTGTTCTTTTCTTCAGGTAGTCGACTGCTTGTGTAATGCTCCAAAACCTGTCTAAGCTGATTAGGCACAGATTCATGATACTGGCCGTACACAACAACACGTCCATGGCAGAATGAATGTCACACCACCAATATCCAAAGATCCAGTAACCCATGATCTCATTAGCGAGCGAGAATGGCATGATGACGAGACCGAGAAAGAAATCCGCTACTGCCAGGCTGGCTATAAACCAATTCTGTATGTTCTTGAGCGCTTTTTCCGTAGCTATGGCGATTATCACCAACATATTTCCCACGACGATCACAATCATTAGCAGCGTCGCGAGAATAGACGCGAGAATAATGTGCGGGAGAGTGTATCCCGATGGGTACATTCCCTCTCCCAGAACAATGAAAGTCTCGTTATTATGCAAACTATTATTCCAGAAATGACGGAGACTTCCGTTGAACGAATCGTTGAACGAATTGATCGCGTCCTCCATTGTGTCGCTAAAACCGAAGAGCAACAAATCCTTTCCGTATTCGATCACGACTTCCTCCTCCGTGCTGTTCGATACACCTGTACTCACACTTACACTATCGGTAGTACTGCCTATGCTGTCGACACTCTGTTCACTGCCGCCGCCCCCGGTACTTATCCCTGCCCCCTTTTCTTCACCCCCAGTAAATGCCGTTTCCCCACTCTTTGTCGCGCCTACGGTGTTCCTGCCGCAAATTCGAGTTTCTGAAGTCTGGCCGCAACGGTGGGAAGCTTCCTTTCTTGCTGCCTCGCCGCCCTCTTTTCCCGTCGTGGTGTTACGCTCGCCGTCCTCGATGTGTTTTTCGTTGTTTTTAGCAGCGTTTTTGCTCGGTCCTTTCTCAGCACCTCCACCGCTGAGAAAGCGACTAACACGATCAGTGGTAGTGGCTGTCGCGGCCGAATGCCGCCGTTGCCGTTGCTTACCGTTCGGGATCGCACGTGTCGGGAGGGCCTCGTTACTCGAAAACGTAGAGCCACCACTGATTGGTCGAGACCACGTCATGTTCCCCTCAAAAACGCTCGTGGACGCCGATGTCGGACTATCGACGGCGATGGTCATAATGCTGCCGAGAAGTGGCATCACTCGCACCCTCGCCGGGGACTGTAGATGCTATCTCGGTAAAGACGAAGCGGAGGTCGCGGCCGCGCGCGAATAGCAACGTGCCCCGGGTGCTAGCTCGAGTAGCAGCAACAGTAGGAGGGTGGTGGTCTCGTCGCATCTCGAGGCCAAGGGCGTCATGCCCGTTTCAGGATAATGCCATCGTTGTCGAATACGTAAATACCTCCACACGTGCTCTTCCTCTTCGTCTTCTCGGCTCGTTCTTGCGGAAGCCGTTGTCTCTCGCTGCGAATTCTTTTTTCGGAACAAATTTGATAACTTGATTTGCGAAACCAACTTCGTCGAGCTCGTCGAGCTTGTTCCCGCTGTAATCGATGCGTATTTTAAGATGTGAATCACGATAGGACCGCACGTAAAATCGAAAAAGTATTTTTTGATTTAGAAGTCTCTTCCACTCAAGTTGAAATATTATACTATTTTACACGCGTAATTTTCGAATTCACGCGTGACACTCACTCGTTTGCATTAATTTTCCTTAGCGCAGCTCTAACAAAGTGCAGTCAAATTTCGCCTTTGACAATTGTTAATTGCCTCTTCTTCTCTATTGGACCAAATCTTTTAGAATCTAGTTTAGCTTAAATTTAGCTAATTTCGGCGTAACTGACACCTTCGGTTTCACCTACTGTTGTAATCGTGACGTTACTTCCGTAACGTCTTCGGTCTTCGGTGCCGTGGTCATACTTAGTTGGTCTCTAATTTATTGCTTGCATGAGTCGCGCGACTCTGTTCCTCGTATTTCCTGCATTCACTGGTCCACAACAGACTTAACACGGACAGAGTGTACAGAGATTTATGGATAGTCCAGTAGGCGACTTGATTAAGAGTATCAAGGTAGATAGAGAAAGTGACAGAGAAAGATAGAGAAGATAGAAAAGGAGAGAGAAGAGAGATAGACTATGAGAATAAGAGTAAAAAATTGGTCCCCCTTTTTTTTATCTTTTCTTTATATTAAACTTGAGCAGCCTACATAGCCTGGAGGCAAATGAAGCGAGAAAAGTTTTCTTGAGAAAGTGCCGACGATCGTAAGAAAATTCCTCTTTAGGACTAACACAGATCCCCAAAGTAATTTTACAAGACGACAGCCATTTTGACACGGTCCTAAGACATGATTTTGTCTAAAACTCGATAATTGATTTACGCGCTCGTACGTTTCCTCTTTCGTGACGGAAACGCGATTTTCTCGTTTCACTTCAATTTGCACTTCTTCTCTCGCTTTCTTTCCTCAAGTCCTACGCGCGGCTCGACGTTGTTTCACTCTAACGATGCCCGCGAGCTAATTAATTATCGCGCCGGGGCTAAAAGGCTAAGCGCTGGATACCCGTACTGCTCCGACCTGCTTTTCGAATACTACAAAAATCAGTGAGAAAAATCAGAACGACAGAGATTATAGATTGTAGAATTATATACACGTATTTATATTATACGTAATATGTAATATATGTAATATATGTATTAACGCGCGAGTCCAAAAGTGCTACTCACGAGCCATGTGCATACCTTATCAATAACTTCCATAAATGTACGCGGAATTAGCGATTAATCAATACGTACGTAGCTAAAAGCGCATATGTTCTTAATCTAAACTCTATTATTAAATATAAGACATATATGCGAAGTTAATTGATACATGATACATAGAAGCAAGAGGAAGAGAAATATATAAAATAAGAACGAGAGAGAGAGAGAGAGAGAGAGAGAGAGAGAGAGAGAGAGAGAGAGCAGTCAGGAGGAAGAAAAACTTAAATAAAATAAAATCGTTCTTTTGCTTTAAAGAAATCGCGCGCGCTAATATAAAGACTTCCCCGTATGTACACCTATTTACACATCATAGACTTCATTACGCCGCGACGAAGTGTCCTGTTTTCTTGTCTCTCGTTCTAACTCTCCCTTCATACGGCACTAGGTCATTGGATTAAGTAGATCCATTCATAAGTTCACTCACAACTTTCAACGACCGTCTGTTGTAAAATACTAGCCTCGATAACGATAAAGAATTAACGCGAAAATGTTTATTTCATCAATGTCGCCTGTTGGTTTCGCAACGAGATGCCATTTGTTGCTCCGATATATATATATTCAAATTTTCAGTAGTAATTCATGATATCTGTCGGACATCTTTCGAATCCCACCACTCAAACTATTTCCTGGATTTGGCGGGATCTTGGCGCGGTAAATGAGAAAAGAATCCTTCTCCAATTTCTCCTTGCAAACTTGTTTTCATCCGATTTGTGAGAGATGAGATCTTCTCTATCTCGCAACGTGCAACTTGAAGTAGTCGATAATTCTTAACTTTTTTCAAGTTGATACTACTTAGTCTGTCTTTGATTCGATCTTCGTTTGACGATCCAACAGTGCTACCTTTTTCGTCGGCACTGACAGTATCGGAGATTTCCTTTTACTCGAGACATTTCGCCTCTGACGGAGCACGTCTTATCTTCTACGAAAATTGTTATTTCCGTGTATGTAAGTTTCCACCCTCCGTAATCCTCCGGAGCAAATCTATAAGCCGGTAAGACTCACGTAAAAATCTTCAATCGAACTCACGATGCCGCACTATATTCTTAACATTGCGTCTTTAAAACTCATGAAAGATAAAGATCGTTTTTTTTTGTCCTTTTCTCTATTTCAAACACTCCAGCACCAAAAACGAAGCTGCGAATCGGATACGTTGTAAAATGACATTATCGGGACGAGATTCAATTCGCGCTCACTTGGACTGAGAGCACGATTGGTCTCATGGGGTCTCCCCAACGCACACGTATAACTTCAACAGTCAGCACAATTCACTCGAGCAGATCTATATAGCTTACGAGTGGAAGCTTTTCGCATCATTTGGATATTTCGCGATAATTCTGGCAGAGGAATTAATAATTCCGACAGACGGAAAAGAAGAAAAAACGAATTTGTATCGAATTGATATCAATATGATGACACAGTCGCGTGTCGGGCTGTCCAGCGGCCAACTCGTCGACTTCTCAGCACTAATTATAAGGAGCCTCGGGAACGTTTCGATCGTCTCGTCCTCGTGTCTCTTCAATACCGTGTGCATGCGTGCGTGCGTACGAGTAGTTCGAGGTTGTCTCATGGATGTTTGGAAACGCACTGCAGCCGTGAGGGACGAGCCAGGAACTCGAACTCCCTCTCGTGTCGTTCGGTGGATGGAGACTCTCACAGGATGTTGGCGGAGAGAGAGAGTGAGAGAATGTACTTGCGCGTGTGGCTGTACGTGTATATGTGTATAGCTGCGTTTTTGTATGTGATTGTGTGCCTGCGTGTATCCTGTGTATACGTGTGCATGTATATGTGACGGGGGAGCGAGTGAGGGAGGGAAAGAGAGCTTGCTTGGCTCACTGGAGGCTGACTGCTGGCCTGACCGATCGCTCCGTCCGACGGTACCAGCGTCGGGGCGCCGTCTAACGGAGTCGCGGAACCTGCGGCGCAAGCGTCGGGACGCGACTCCGACTACAGTACGCCAGTACGGTCGCGGACAGTCGACTTTGGACCATCAACCGATTGGTCCGCAACGAAAATATGTTGCTACTTTGATCCAGCGACAAATAACACCATTTCGAATATTCGTATGTTCTCCACCCTCACCGGTCATTGCCTATTATTAGCCTTCATTGATGTTGCTATTACTATTATCATAACCATTTTTAAATCACTGCTTAGTGTGCCTTTTACGCATTTTATACAACTTCAAAAACAAAGTTGCGAAAACGTTTTTATTTATTAGACATGTCATGATAAATTTTGTCACTTTGAATTTACGCAAAGATTATATCAGAAGTAAAGAAGATACATGCCATTTTCATATATAATAACTGATTCGTGCTTCAGTTATCTCTTATCAACAGTATTTTGAAAAGCATTCAATTTTTAATAAATCATAAATAACAAGATTTAAATTCACATTAGATCAGGACAAACCTTTGACGTGTCAGCGGAAATGAGGGCACTAAAAAAATACATATGTACATATGGCATAAAAACCCAAGTAGGAATATGAACATGAACAAATATTAAAAGAAATATAATATGAATAAATATTCCAATGTGTGTGTGTGTGTGTGTGTGTGTGTGTTCAAAATATTATAATTACATTACATTTTTTTTACACAATTATGAATACCATTGTTATCATTATATTATTTTCAAGAGTAATGTAGCAAGAACAAAAATAAATCAGCATTTAAATATTGCGTAAACAAAAATGTGGAATTTATAAAATTAATGAGTGTATTCTTTTGGAAAGCCATTATTCTCTGCGAAAAGTAAGTACGATGCATAATGGAATCCTACTGATTTACATCTGGATTATATTAATAATTCAATAGATTTAGAGATGACAAATGAGTATGTATATATGTATATATATTACATATTTATATAATTCATTATAACATAAAAATCATGGCAAAAAACATAATTAAAAATAACTATAGTATCATTTTTGATAATAAAGCAAGGTCTCTTACAGTTTTCTCGCTCAATTAAGTTCATTTAAGCAAGGAATGCAATTGTAGATCCTTAATAGCGATACTAAAGTGAAATTATCTTGAACTTTCTAACATCTGTAATCAATCATGTTACTGCTCCTTATACAAAGAAAATAATTTAAACTAAGAATGAATAAAGGTCTCACATTATTTTAATTTAACGAATATTATTTAGCTATGATTTATTATGTATTTGATATAATTAATTCACTTAATTCACATATGAAAATTAGTTCTTTATGTTCTACTGTTTTTACATATAACTGATACAAATATGTTTAAATGCCTTTTATATTTTGCTCATATCCACATTTCTGATTTGCTAAAATTTTACCGTCGGATAACAAAGTGTAAATGTGACATTTATAAATACATGTATTTTAAGTATGTTAAAATATATCTTACAATTAGTGTAAATTAAATAAATATTCTTTACGATTAAAATTTCGGACTTGATATACGCTCTATTTTTGCAAATATTAAAACAAATAATGATATGAAAAGAACAGAAAATATAACTTTGAAGTACAAGTTGCAAACTCATGTTAGCGTGTTTTCACTTTAAACTACGAGCTAATATTTTGTGTATTATCTATCACGATTTATTGCGTCTCACGGAAAGTACTACATATACTCGATTTTCTTATAGGAATCAGCACCCGTTGATAATCTTAGTAACTCATCCGAGCAAAACCTTAATCCCTTCCTATAATCTAATTTTCGTCGAAGAAAACTCGATATTATTTTATCAAATAAATACTGAATTCTTCTACATTCTTCTTTAATAAAAGTTACTTCGATCGCATGACTAGTTCGAAGGAAAGACTTTTTCCGTTGAAAATGGACAGTCAATAAAAAGATTACTGTCGAAAACTATTATTGAGAAAAATTTGATGACATCTTTCTGCTTCTAGAGAATCTTCAATAGTACTTTTCAGCCCGCAGAAGAGACATTTCGTTTTTGCAAAAAAATTACATCTCATTTCAAATGATGACAGGTACTTTTACGTTTGTATGAATATTGAATTTAATTAATTGAAGCTCGTTTCTGGGATTTATTTCAACTATTCCTTCTTGGAGAAATACTTAATTCTCTCGGCAAACCGAGATGGTATAAGTATGAAAGATTCATAAAACTTTCAACGTTTGAAATATTTTTTCTTGTATTTTATGGTTATGACGATATTCGCAAGTAATCGAATATCTCGATTTAGTATCAAGGGACTATTTCAACTTCTAAACCTATAAACGGGCACATAAAATATGCACGAAAAATATATACTTCTTATTTTGAGTCATCATACCATATATCCATCAGAGCTCACAAAAAAGTTGGAAAAGATAGATCCGACCTTTCTTCTTTTAAAATAGCTTTTCCTATATTTCTTTTAATTCACTGCTGTCAAAGTCAATAAATTTTGATATCCGACTACCGCGCGCTTTAATGATATTTTTCAGTTTAAATTATGACGTAAATCTGTCAATAAATTAATTATAGGATATATAAGCACGTAAGATTCATAAAACTTTCAATGTTTGAAATTTTTTCATATATTTTATAGTTTCGGCGATAAATAATCTATTTAGCATCAGAGAATTATTTCAACTCCTAAATCTGTAAATGGATACATAAAATATGCACAGCAGCACCAGAATTGAGAGATTTCAACTCTTTCGACCTTTAATTGGATATAGGTACATCCGGCAAAGCAGGAAGATGAGCGCGTATTCTCTTTCTTCTTATTTCTGCTCCCATCACTTTCTGCTTCGGTACTTTCTCGTCTGTCATATTCTGGTCTGCACCTTTCTCGCTCCTTCTGTCCGCCTCTTTGCCGAAAGTTTCTCATGAGTAAGTTCGGGATATATCGTCGTAACTCTACCGGTCGACATGCAAGTCCGTGCCTCCTTTTGCGCGTTGGCTCGTTATTGGTGAAAGATATATACGTGTATCGACATTGTTCTCACTCGAGGACACGCGGCCATAGTCGTGGTAGAGAAACTAGTTACGAACTAGTCCTCCCTTTCGGCCCTGTCTTTACATCGAGATACAGGTACGCGCACTGACTCGTCCTTTCCTTGAATGCTACCAAATTCGATTGCAACTAAGTGCCAGTCGGCAATTGTGCTGATTCGTCCGTAATGTCTACGAACATCAAGCGGGACGTCTTCGATGTATTTGAACTTTGGCGACATGGATACTGTCGGGGATTAATAATAGATGTCTGAGTATGCTTGAAGGAACTTGTTTAAAATGGGGGAAAGAAATTTTTCGCGACAGAAAAACCTATTTTTATTGATGATCTAAAAAAATGCTACGAATATTTAATACAAATCAATATTGTTATTTTATTACGTCACTTATTTAAAAATTTATATTATAATAAATTGCAATATCGATCATTTTACGATATAAATGAGAAACAGATCTAAAAATATGCGCATCTTACGAATATCCATTAATCAATATTTTAACACTTTAAAGTATCCATGTGTAAATCTGAAGAATTTATAAACTCCGTCGGTTATTACTTGCAGATGTTGCCAAGAATATCAGAATGCAAATACTGTGCCCGGATATGTGAGATGAAACAAAATTAGATCAAGTATACTCATATAATTTTCATTAAATACGAGATGTACAATAAGTTATGTGATTCGTATTCATCTACACATGATAATCTTTCACGTGAATTCACGAAAATGTAATTGGTTCAAATATTAGCTTCAATTAATTTTCACTGCGACATGTACTTTCGACATAGACGCTTCTAGTTAAACAATATGTAAGAGCGTACGATTAAACATCAATTTCAAATAAATTTAATCTTTTAAGAATTTGTATTCGTATAGAAAAAGATATTTAGTTACACTTTCATAACAGGATATTTGATATTTATTCAACTAATACATATGCCATATACGTGTAAAAGATATTGCATATCGGATTTCGTATGTTGTAATTCTAATTGGTATACAAATTTCACAGTTGGCTTCTCGGAAACACGCGCAAATGGTAGAGCCAATAATGCAAACAGTGCGCGCGTATTTTAATTAGCACCTGTCAAGGAAAATTCCGTTCTGCCTATTACGCCAATATTTTATGCGTGCGAAAACTGTATGCAAATATCTCGAATCTCGTGGACTGAATATATTATAATTTATACCTAATACAAAAAAACAAATGTCGGCAAATAAAAATTAATATCATAGTAACATTGTAAATGTACTAAAATGTAATAAGATACTGGTGGCTTATATTTAATCGTGGACTTTATTTGTAATGACGAAGATATAAAAAATAATACATAATTCCTTAATATTGTATATTATCGAGAGAGAAGTGATATACTTAACTGGATTATTTCATTAAATTCTCGACTGCCTTTCATCTCTCGCATGTTGACCGCCGTCTACGATCAATAGAGATAAAACGTATAAAATTCTAATGACAATATTTCGCCAGTTTTCTACAATAGAGAACATTTTAACATATTAAGGCATGCAAGATAAATATTCTTTTCTTTTGCTAAAAAGACAATAATCAATAAATTAAATAATCTATTTAATCCAATCTTATGTAATTTTCATTTCCAGTAAATATACATGATAATCTGCTTATGTTAATCATTGCTTCATCCTTACGCAAGCCTTGCCAGTGCAAAATCTGTATACATTTCTGTAATAATCTGGCGCAGTATTACAAACATACGAGTACTATTGATTGCATTTGTGAAATTATTCCTTGACAGTTGTCGATTTTGAGACTGTTGAATTATAACGATGACCTCAAAAATGGTGGGACAGTTTTATAGCAATTGTGTTGCTTAAATTAAGAGAGTTTTTTTTAACATTCTATTTACAAAAGTTGATATTTTTTAAATTATTAAAATTATGTTGCATTTTATGTGCCAAAGAATAGTGATGTAAATTGTACATACAATTTCAACGAGATAAAATAAGAAAGCAAAGAAACTAAGTTGTATATGTACATATTTATATAAGAGATGCAATTCTATTATCTTTTTCAGCAGAATTATTACAATGAAAAGGCTAAGGTTAAAATGCATTTATACAGTCGG